CAGAGCAGGCAGCAGAGACCATGGAGCCCCCCTCAGCCCCTCCCCGCAGAGGGCGCGTCCCCTGGCAGGGGCTCCTGCTCACAGGTGAGAGGGACGATGCCCTGGGGTGGGCGGGACGAGGGAGCACAGACACTGGCTGGGGTCTCCTGGGGAGGACGGGGCTCTGAGAGGGACAGAGGACTTCTGTTGGAGCCTGAGGAGGGGGACACCAAAGCGGGAGAGGAGGTCACAATAGGAAAGTCACATTGAACTGGAATTGGAAAGAGGCAGGACAGTCTCAATTGCTCTGTGTTCTCCAGGTTAATCATCAATGGTCACCACATTGTGAAAATGGTAATAACTATATCAGGCCGATGCTTCAAGTAAACATAACCAGGGGCACCAAACATGGCCCTTACCCACCAGTGTCAGATACTGTCTTATGTTCACTGTAAAATAAACACCAGGACGTGGAGGGCCCTGGGAACGCTCATTCACTCACCCACAGGTGTCCGCAGCCTGTCCCAGGCTCTGGGGCACAACAAAGGTCAGACACGTCCCTGTCCTCACAGAGCTCACATCCCAGCGGGAGGAAGACAGACAAGCAGAGAGATCTCGAATGTGAGGTCAGCTGTGGACAAGAGCCACAGAGGGAACAGGCAGGGAAAGGTCAGGAAGGGAAGACCTAGGGTCCCTAGAGGAGGTGGCCAGGGAAGGTCCCTCCCAAGGACGCCCCTGAGTGTGAGCAGGGATCTGAGGGCAGTGGGGGGTGAGCCCTGCAGACACCTGGGAAGAGGACTCCAAGCAGGGGCATGGCCAGTCCAGAGGCGCTGGAGTGATGGTGGTCACACTGCTGACCTTGACCCAGAGCACACACACACACACACACACACACTCACACTCTTACACACACACACACAGTCACACACACCCCAAGGCTGAGGGCGAAGAGACCTGCTCCAGATCCAGGGCCCACCTTTCCATCCCAATTCCAAGGTCCCAATATGGATTGATTCTCTCTCCTTCCTTCTAGTCTCACTTTTAACCTTCTGGATCACGCCTGCCACTGCCCAAATCACTATGGAATCTGTGCCTCCCAATGTTGTGGAGGGGAAGGACGTTCTTCTACTCGTCCACAATGTGCCACAGGACGCTATAGGCTACAACTGGTACAAAGGGGACAAGGTGGACAGGAACTATAGAATTGTATCATATAGAACAGACACTCAGGTAAACAACACAGGGCCTGCGTACAGTGGTCGAGAGACAATTTACCCCAATGGATCCCTGCTGTTCCAGAACGTCACCGTGAAGGACACAGGACACTACACTCTACACCTTATAATGGCAGATCTTCAGAATGAAGAAGTAACTGGACAGTTCCGCGTGTACCGTGAGTGATTCCCTGTGACCTCTGGGTGTTGGGGGGTTAGTTCTACTTCCCACACACGAGGTGTTCAGGCCTGGACTGTGCCTGCCTCCTCCTCTACATTAGGTCCCATGTTGGGGTTTGGGCACTTAGTGCAGGACACACACAGGGGAGACAAACTTCAGAATATCAGATGCTTTTCCTGCGTCCAGACCTGCAGACATTGCCTGCAGAGGAAGGACCAGTGTGACAGGTAACTCAGCAGGGGATCAGTCTCAGCTCAGCACCCTGTGCCCTCCCCATGGACATGACTCTGAGAAAGACCCTGTAGGACTCAGTCAGGTCCCTGTCCTCAACTCCAGGGGCCTTATTAGGCATCCGGGGACCCCAACACCAGTGCCGGAATCAGCTATATCTGCAGCTCAGAGGGGGAGATTCCGGTCTGGGGAGTGAGGAGCAAATGGAGAATTAGTCACTTTACCTCTAGAACTGAACCACCTGCCTCAACAAGCAGAGTCAGTGTCAGGAATGCCCAGGCCTCCCCTTCAGCCCCACCCCCCTCACTGGACTCTAAATCAGGTGATTCCTGGTGTGTCCGTGTCACTCCCACGGAGGGTACAGGAAAGGATGTGGCTTTCTCCCTCCCTACTGGCACTCTGAAACACCACAGGGCCCATCTTTTGACTCAGTAGTTCTCTGATGAAGGAGGGGTGAATGAATGAATGAGTGAATGAGTGATCCATAACCTCTTCAGAGACTGGATCCTGGATACAGAATCCTAGGAGGTTCTGACCACGCCTGTTCCCTGTCCCTCGGGGGCTAAAATCCAAACTCCATCCCTCTGACCCCTGCCCAAGAGCCACCAGGAACCAGTCTCATGTGACTCTGAGGCTTCCCAGCTGTGGGGGGTTTCAGGGCTCCCTGGTCCTGCTCCTGGGGTCTCTGAAGTCCCTGGAACCTCCGTGCTCACTGCCATGGCATGTCTGGCTCTTTCTGCTCCTCCGAGTCCCTCATCTTCCTCCCCCTTCATTCCAGCCTGCGTCTACCCTACACAGCTTCCTCCACCCTCAAGCCTTCCCCTGACACTCCCACTGACAACAGCTGCCTGTCCTGGTCGCTTCCTGCTAACCCTGTGGACAGACCCACCTCCCAGGCAATAGTAAAGGCAAAGAAATTAGAGCAGCTGCCCCTGCCAGGCTCCATCAGGAGCCAATGTCCCCAGGTCACCAGGAGAACGACCTTCCACTGTGTCCCCACCCAGGGCTCTTTCCTTCTGTGAGGCCAAAAAGTGGGACAGGCCATGGGACAAGGATGGGTGACCCCTCCATCTGCTCTCTACACTCCCTCACCGGGGTCAGAGGAGAAAGACAGGTCTGCAACCCCCAAAGCCACAGGCTCATTTCACTGACTGATTCCTGACTGCAGCCTCGTCCTGGCGTGGGGCTCACGTCCTCCATGGTTCCTGGGACCTTCCCAGGTGGAGCTGGCCAGACTGGTGCTGTCTGAGGGGTGACAGCCTGCTCCACAGGCACCTGTGTCCCTCATGATGACACCGATACCAGAAGGTGGGGTCCCTGAGATGGTGAGATGCACGAGCCAGGGTGTCTCAGTTAGAATCTGCTCAGTTTGCACAAATTCGACCAAACCCTAGTTGTGTTTCCTGAGGTCAAGAGAAAGGAAGAAAGCATTTCACATGCCTTGTGGGGCTCCTCCCCATTTTGCATAACTCTCCATGGGAATTAGGGACGTGGAGGTCTTTCTAAATTTATTACCATCACACACATCACTTCTCCTAATTTGGTATCTTTCTCTTCTTATTACTGTTGAGACACCTCAGACTTCCCTCTGACCAGTTCTGTCCTCCTAACGGCATTCGTGGTCTCTCTCTACCCAGGGAGTCACTGATTCCAAACCGACTTCAGCATCTTCCTTTGAGTGTAATGTGACCTGCTGGACTTCAGAGCTTGGTCCAAGACCTCGTCGTGCTCTCTACAGAAATACTCCTCTCAGCAACTGGTCTTAGATCCTGAGTATTAATAATACTTTTCAGACATGGAAGAAACTTAACTTCTCCTATTCCTATCCCGTCTGCCCATCACACGAGGTCCATGAGTCCAGATTCCAGCACGTTCGTGCTACCCGCTTTGCACCAGTCAGGTCTGCGTTTGCAAATGTCCACATGTGTTTCCCGAATGATCCACACATAGTCCTCACCTGCCCTCTGCAGGGGGACAAGGGACATTAAAGACCAACGGCAGGGAACATGGTTCTGCTCCAAAGCCACCAGCTCCTACTGGTCCCTCACTCTTTTCTAGATCATTCCTTGGACTCTGCTCTATCTTTTAGGAGTCATTGGCTCATGTCATTCGCCATCAAGCAGCTGGGAAAAACCGCCACCACCTGTGGCCCCACAGCCTGACTGCTGAGCTGATCTCCAGGCTGCCTCCTGCTCTCCCTGCGTTATTTGTGCTCAAACACCCAGTCCCAGGCCAGGCTCCCCAGTACCCTCAGGGTCTAAGGATAATGGGAAGTCCCATCAGTACCCGTCTCTGGGATATCTGAGGACAGCCTCAGAGAAACACACCTAGGGGGCCAAAGTAGGACTACGAAGCTAGAAGGGACCTAACGCCCGCACGTTCCAGGTGAGAACCACAAGGTCAG